GGGGGCACGGCCCGCCGCAGGCATGCGCGGCAGCCCGCCTGCCTCCCCTCCCTCCTCCGCCTCCCCCGGCCCCACCGCGGCTCCTCGGCGCCCCCCGGCAGCGCTCGGGCACCCCCTTTCCCGGCTGCCGCTCGGCGAGAGGGGCCGGAGAGGGGACACCGGCATCGTTCGGCTGGCATCCAGAATTAAGGCACGGGGGGAGCGCTGGCCACGCGGGGTCACAGAGAGGCCTCCGCCTCTAATGAGTTTAATACTAATGTTTGCACGGCTCTGAAGGTCACAGTTGGAAATACTGGGAAATCCTCTCTCCTCATGTTCCAGCCTGATTCCCAGGAGTTTAATGCCAGCAGCAGGCTGGGCTTTCTCTTCTTGGACCGGGGCCACCTGCCCCGAAGGGCTTCTCCAACTTTGAAGGTCACAGTGGACAGACAGGGAAAATGAAGTGCTTGTTAAATGCGCTCCCTCTTTTTAACACATCTGCTCTGATCTCAGCTCAATAAACAGCACAATCTATTGAATTAAATCTGCCCAACGCCATCGGAGAATGACACGTGAGCAACTCACAGTGCCAAGACTCAGAGCACAGACGGTGAGACCCACCTGAAGAGGGAAATTCGCAGACATCAGAAAGCATCAGCTTCGAGCGCACGGACTCTCGGACACTACCGCAGCTCTGGGGTCCCCCAGCACACGTGCAGTCTGGTCCCTGAGCTGCTCAAGCGAAGCAGGCACAGAAAAAAGACAGCCAACACTTTTCCTAGACATCATCTAGTCATGTTTGTGTATCAGCAAGCTGCATTCATCATCTGCCAATAACCACGTACAGAGCAACTGCCTCCCTGTCACTCCTTATAGCCTACTGTGACAACTCCATGTCATTCCTAGCTAAGGACATCTTCCTAATTCCTTGCTCTGCTTCATTTTATTAGCTGGACAGGTTACTCTGCCCTCTTCCAGCCCATGTCTGACTGTGACCCCTGTATCTTTGCAGCCCTGAAGTATCACAGCAGGGACTGACCAAAGCCACGACAGCCCCTACATGCTGGCCGTCAAATTCCACTCACTGCCCCCTCTGTTCTGCGCTTATCTGGGTTACTCTGCACTCCTACCAGCTAACTCATCAAAGCAACCACCTATTTAATGTACCTCCAGGAGCCAGGTGTGACTATGAAGACCAACAGCTTGCAAAACAGTGGCTGCAGATGTCAGCAACACACTTCCAATTCCCCCCCTTAGAAGCCATCCATCACGAATATCCAAATCATAAAATCTGACTTTTCTCCACAGGAAGACAAAATGGCAGCCACAATACCCAGAGACGATGGAAGGCCATAGCCTCCTACATGAAGCCATTTCCTTTCCTCCCGTTGCTCCTTGCTATATTCACAACAACTCAACAAAGCGAAGGGCAGGCTAAACCACAGGATTTGCTCCTAACGCTTCTGGAACAATCCAGCCCATGCATGGTGGGTGAGTGCTGATGGTGGGTTTTTTATAGACACAGGAACTACTGGACAATGTCCCTGGCTATCTTGTTTGACAACCACCTGTTTCATGAAGTACAGTGGAAATCACATCTGTTCTCAGGAAGCCAGGTGCCCTGCCAGAAAACACAGAACACGGATCAGCAGAGCTGTACTGTTTGTGCTACGGCTGCTCTAATTACATCTATTACAGAGAATCCTGCCAGGGAGCAGGGAGAGGGTCGGAGAGGATTAAGGGGAAGCAGCAGCTCTACCACGCTGATTTGCTCAGCAGCCACTGACTGACCCTTCAACCGTTTCTGCTCCTGCCTTAGCACAGCCCTGCCTTGGTGCTCCCCCGGGTAGAAACAGAAGCCTTCTTCTCCTCTAATCCCAGGCACTCCAGAACTCACCTGCCAACAAATAAACATCCTAAAAAAGTAACAAGCTGTCCCTCAGAATTGTTCACGTACAGACCCTCAAGCACTTCATGCCAGACCGGTGTTCTGGTTGCTATCTGAAGAAAGGAAATTGGGCCCAGAGGCGAAGAAAATCTCTGGTGAAACTGGGCTTGGATTAGGGTGGTTTGTAACACAGAAAGCCACAGGCCAGGGAAGCAAATGGAGATCACACCCTCCCCTCCCCAGCTCTGGAGAAGTTTATTCTTCACCTAGAGAGTACTTCATGTGCTACACACAAAACCAAAGGTGATTTGAAATAAATGCTTGTAGTTAATCCAGTTTATTAAACCACCAGAACCTGTGTTGTGTATTTTTTTTAAAACAAACGTACAGAAAAACTTCTCTGGACTTACTCAGAGATACTGTATGTTTTTAGAATGAAAGGATAAGATACTTCCCTTCTTGCTAAGAGCTGGGAACCACTCCAACATCTCCATGTGCCTGTTCTGAACAGGCAACAAACACCGCCCAGCCCTCTTCAGGAAAACTGGCAAATAAACGGGATGCCACATTGGAAGCTTGTTTCAATTTTCAGCCCCAGTGTGCTGTGAAAGAGATGGAGAGCACACATTCTTCAAACCCCGTCCAATGCAAGGATGCACAGCTGTTCTGTCTTGCCCTAACACAGCCCTGATGCCTCCAGTGAACAGGCTGGAGGACAGGCATAACCCTTAGGGCACAGGATGCTCAGTACCACAAAGCTCTCAGCCATTTTGGCACTCCAGGGGAAATGATGAAGGGGACTGAATGTTGAGAGAGCGAAATCTTGAATACTGCAAGAAGCAGCCCAACTTAACATGCGGGGGTTGCTATGGCAACCCACCCAGTTAATGCTTCACGGCAGAAAAAAAAGAGAAAAAAAAAAAGAGAAAAAAGGCTGGCACTTTTGCACAGGCACAACAAGACGAGGAGCTAAAAATAATGTCAGCACCCTGCTCTCATTAACCCCTCACTCTTATGGTCCCCGAGCCAGGCTATGGGAGTGGGAACACAAAACCTGCGTGTCTGGCCTCCCTGTGACAGCCATCTCGGCAGCTTCCTCTGCCATCTGCAATCACATCAGCTCACTTCAGTGCAAATGTCCTCTTTATTGTGCAGCTAAACATCAGCAAAGCTTGTTCCTCGCACAGCCCCTCCTGACTGTCAGAAGCCAACACATACCCACCACTGGGATCAACAACCATCCCAACCTCAAGGCCACCAGAGCTGTACAACAACCAAATAACAGCGGTGCAATCCCCTGATGCACAAGCATTGAAGAGAGAGCACGGAAAGGAAGCAAGCACCCTTTACAATTGCTCACTGCTGCTCCTACAGAGCAACCTCTAGCCAGTATGAAACCAGTAATGGTTTGCAGAAGTCATATAGAATGATATATACCAATTTTAAAATGTTAAATTTAATAGATGTAGGCATCCTTCCCACGCACTTTAAAAAACATCCTACAGAAATCTGTAGCAAGGGAAGACTTCTCTAGTTGCCTTTGCAGAGTGCCTGGAGGGTTATAAAAGCTCATTCAGTTTTCTCTTTTTCACACTCAGGTTTTAAAATGTACTCTCCGTGTACCCGCCGACACCTGGATCCCCACTGTATACTCTACACTGCAGACAACCCCACCTATACTCTTCAAACATCTTTCCACCTGCAGACCTACATTTCCAGCTGGTGCACAGTTCCCAATGCTGGGGACTAGATCTGCAGTGTTTAGCTGCACCCAGCCCCAGCTGCATGCCTCTCACCCCCTCATATTCGAGCAGGTAGGTCCCATTAATGCTCTTAAGATGCAGGTACCCCACATGACTGTGCGACCTTACGTGCTCTCTCTATACAAACACCTGCCTGCATTTGTGTCGCATCTTTTTTTGCCGGATCTATTTCCGCATGCAACGTAACAGACTGGGGTTCCCCAGGCACATACCCCTCTGATTGCCAAAAGCTATACTCCATACTGAGCAACCGCTCTGCCTTCTGTCACATACATGTTGCAGGACCTCTTTCCACTATACACAAATTGCGCATGTTCTTGATTTACTGCTTCTACCTGAGCTTGGCTTAGCTTCCTTCATGCCTGCAGAAAAGGCCAACTGATTTCCAAGGCCTCTGTTCTGGACGGGCTATATTCTAACCCTTTCATGTGGGCCGCTCTCCCTTTCTTCTTTAACTGAGTACCCACAAGGCACAGTCCCTTTGCCATCTTTATCTCCCACAGAAAACACAGGCTGTTCAACATGCTTCTATTTATCCTTGGCTCTGAGACTTGTTTTCCTTTCAGGACTAAGATCGAGAAGGACTCGAGAGTCCTCCCCTCTGTGAACAAGAAGTAACTGCCCTGGCAAGGAGACTGCCGGAGCTGTTTGTGAGCCTCAAGCATTAAAAATGCTTTTCATAGCGGTGCTCCCTGTCAGAGAAATACTTCCTCAAATGCAGAACAGTCTTGCGTAAGCCAAAGCCTGCGCATGCACAGAGGACTGGCAGGGTCTGGGGACTCGGATCCCTTTGAGCAGCAAGTGTGCTCTGAAGGCTGGGTTGAAAATTCTCCCCTCTGTGTCCAAAAAAGGCACTGAGCTACATTCCTGCACGTTGCTAACGCTTTGTGGTCAGCAACTAAATAAACACATTTCCAGGCCTTTATAATACAGGCCATATTTAGAGGTGTGTTATTGTATACATCCTGGAAATT